ACTATTGCTGACCTGCGAACCCCCACACCTCGGCGCTCCGCCTGCAGCAGTGGGAGTGAACTCCAGCTGCAGTAAATCCTGCTCATGAGGGCCAGCTGTGCATTGAGTCACTTAAATCAGAAGCCTCTGAGTCCTCTCAGCCTCGCCTCTGGAGAACAGGACGTCACTCTCAAGACCCCAGTTACCCACCAACACCTCAGCAACTCACAAATTATTCCTCACTGTCCTGTAGGAGATGCATTCAGCCGAAAAGTCGCTGAGCAGGAGACAAATGGGACGGATTTGCAGAGTGACGCTTCACACAAAGAGGCACAAAGCTGAATGAGAGTCGGGGAGAAAGAGAGCGAATGCGTCTTCCTCTGTGTCGACACAACCAACTGCAAAGAATATTATAGGCACCAAATGATAATGGAATACAATTAACTTCAAATGGCTTCACTGCACCATAAATCTCTTCCTGTGTAGGGTCGCAAACGACTTAACTCCTTCCAGAAAGATGGAGCTTCTAATTGCACCTTGCTCTCTGTGCTGTGGTGCTCACACCGGTAAAAGTGTGGCTTCTGCAGAATAAATGATCAAAACATCCAAAGTCGAAGCCACAATACGTCTCAGACATACAATTTCACAGGAACAAAACAGAGCTGACATCTTTAGACTGCGTAGGTTTGAACACTGGACAGCTCTCCTACACCTGAAGTTTGCTCACAATTAGCTTGTGTTTCTTTTTGCAGGTTTTTAATGATCTTACTTGCTGAAGAGTTCTTTTTTATTTTTTTTAAAGATGAGTAAATTGAAAGCGATGGAACGTCTGCCTTCAGCGCTCCCCCGACTAGAGATGAAGGTCTGAATGAAACTTGTTACAGATTAATTACAACCTGACAGGACAGACACGCAGCGGAAGCAGCAGACAAGCTGGTGAGACGTCCGATCCCACACGACCGGTCTTGTTAGAGCTTCTTTCTGCGCCGATCGCAAGTAAAACTTCAATTCAGAGTGAGTCTTCTTCCAGCTTCATCTCCATCCGTTGCTAGACTCGCAGAGCAGCAGCGGATTTATTAGTCAGTGAGGAGCAGGGAGCGTTTCACATTCATCAGCTGTAAACTTCTGGAGAAGAAACTCACAATCCGAGAAATGAAACATGAAAACTCTTCAGGCTTTCTGGTTGAGTTTCCTGATTCTGGAGGTGAAATCAGTGACCAAACACAACTTAATAATGAACAGGAATTTAATTTGGAGCCAAAATGGCCTTTTGTGTTGAAGATTGGTTGAGTCTCTAGACACTGATGGAGTTGATTTGAGGATCCTGCCTGGTTCAGGATCAGCCAGGGTCATGACAGCTGCCACGGGGGGTTAAAAAACTTGATGGCGTGAGTCTTGGCCCACTTGGAGAAGACGGACTTCTCTGTGATGAAGCGGTGTCCACCGTAGGGGGCGCTCTCGTGAAGAAGGTACTCCGCACACTCGTCCCGGCTACCCGCCTCGTAGTAATGGTAGGGAACCTTTCTGTAACCCTCCGACCTGAAGGAAGGACAAACTCAGTGAGATCAAATGCATTCAGATATTCTTTCAGAGCAGCTTCAGTAATTTGAGTTTTGGGTTGTTCAGTTTCTCTTTAAAACCAGAATCTCACTGGGCAGCAGCAGTTGGTGATAAACCGCTGTCATTCTCAAGAGAGTCTCAAAAATGTCTTGATATCAGAGATATTTCATTCTGAAAACTAGTCCCATGTCCCCACTCGGGGGCTGGAAATCCTCTTAAAGCCATCATTAGAGTTGCACAACATCACTGTGTAAAGGATCAATACTGCAAAGGACTTCAATAAGTCACAGACCCACATTCATGCTGAGCGGCTGAGTATTCAACCACATTCACAAAGTAGTTTGTAAAAGGTCTCAAAGCGTTCTCAGACCGGTCTCACTCTCACATAAATGAAATCTGGAGAACGCTCAAAGAATATGAGGGACAAAAGTAAATGTGGAGTCTGTGAGATTCAGAAACAAGTCTGAAACGTTTCTGGGTTAAAAAGTGTGAAAAATATCAAACAGTTTAGGATGTTGTTGACCAGAGGTGTGAATAATGTAATGCAAACAAGTTCTGTTGCAAATGTGTTGTGTGGCCCAGTCACACATAAACCTTTATAAAAGTCTACTGTGACTTTTATGTCATTGTGCTTCCAGCTGAAAATGTGGGTATTTTTGTCTAGTCGTCTAAAGACGCGGCCTGGTGAGATGGTGGCTTTGGGTCAGAAACAACAAGACAACCTTGGGAGAGACAACAAATAAATGACATATACAACTGTAACAGAATGAAATGACTGTTTTCCACCTAAAAGTCATTTCCCCCCTTCTCCTCAGCAAGAACTAATCTGCATGAGATATTGTTCAAGGTCTCATGCTCTGCTTCTAATCTGTTTCTTATTTTCCAACTCAAGAGAAGAAGAAGACGAACACTTTCTTTTTAATAAATCAGAAGAACTCTATTTTTAATAAGCTATTCAAACAAAGTGTTAGTCCAGTAATAAAATGTGAACCAATCTGTGAAATGACAATGTTATGATCAGCAGTTTTTAATAAGTAATATAACTTTAAACTAGCTGCACTAGACATTCTCATCCACATAATGCTTAAAGTCACATGACACATTTCCTTTTTCTGATCCAATCAGAACCTTCCAGATCTGATGCGAGTAGGGTTGTCACGGTAACCGGTATAGCGGTAAACCCCGGTAAAAAAGTTGACAATAAAAATAACCGTCCAGTTTTTAAAAAACTATATTATCTCGGTGGGTTTACCGTGGCCGCGGTTTCGGAGCGATGACCCTTACCAGCCACCGTCGCTTCAGCTGAAGTTCCCGCTGCACGCACGCGCACTTTTTAATTTGCAACGGCACCAAAACTTTGAAGCTGAAATAATGGCCGAAGGAGGAGACGGCAGCGCCCAGGACATCCATCAGCCCTCAAAGAAGACTAAATCGGAAGTATGGGCATATTTGGGATTTCTGAAAAATGCTGAGGGACAGTTAATAGAAGACGGCTATCCCGTTTGCAGAACGTGCAGGAAACAAGTGTCTGCAGAAGGCAGCAACACTTCAAATCTCATGGCACATCTGCGTGACCATCACCCACGTCTCCACAGCCAGTGCAAGGTAAGATAACATTAGCATTTTAGCTGAAATGCATGACGTGAGGACTTTTGGTTGAGGGAGAATGCAACGAGTCACTATATACTGCAGCCGCAGCGTCCTCTGCCAGCATTTACACCATGTCACGGACACCCTGTTGCTGGATGAAGCATCTTATTTGTTGATGATGAGGAGAAATATACAATTAGTTCCTTGTCATGGATTTGTTTACTTATTCAATGCCATTTATACTTGAACATTTGGATTTGATTACATAGTGTAGTAGTTATTTTAGTAATTTGTTTAAAGTGGATATTTATTTTAAATACATATTTTTTAAGGTTGACTTGTACAGTGCTCAAGTCAAGTGTGGACTGGAGTTTTAGATTTTCATTTTGATAATGAAGAAAACAAGTATATGAGAAAACAAGTGGTGTTTCTTTGATTTGTTTACATATTGTTTATGTTTCGAATGTTTGGATTTGTATAATTTAAACCTGCACTGACTACTGTAACAAGTTCCAGAAAAATAAGCTATTTGTTCCTTTACTTGTGAAAAGTTGCACTTTTGCTAAGGCTTTGTGTTATTTTAGGTTTAATAAACACTGTTAAACCTTTTCAGAACTATTTCAGTTTGTGTAGAACAGGACTATCAATGCTTTCTGAACATATGCAACACCGTTAAAAAAATACGCGATAATACCGAAAACCGTGATAATTTTGGTCACAATAACCGTGAGGTTAAATTTTCATACCGTGACAACCCTAGATGCGAGGCGTGGTTTTGTCACGATTTGGAGGGATGGTTAGAACCCAAAATGCAGAACCCAGAATGACACGAGGCAGAGTAGATATATAAAGAAAAATCCTTTAATTTTTAGGATGAACCCAAACGAACATAAATCCAGAGGGCAGGAAGCCAAAGTCCAAAAATCCAGAAAATGATCAGGAAATCCCAAAACACTAGAGGAACGAGCAGACAGACAGAATAAATCACAATGGACCGGCAACACACAGAGACAAGACAGGGATTGTATACACTGGGGAGGAGCAATTAGGGAAACAGGCAGCAGGTGTGTAGAGTGAGGGCTGGAGGGAAAGCAGGTGAATACAATTATCTAAATTGGGAAACAGAACCAGAGGAGGGCAGATAAACCTAAAACTATAGAACACAAAACTAAACCTAAAGACTGAGGGAAGGACTCTCTGGCTGTGTCTCAATTCAGGGTCTGCATCCTTCGAAGGACCCAGCCCACCCGGCCGACGTGGGCTGCGTCCTCCGTCGGCCGGGTAGACCGGATGTTAACGGCTGTGAATTTGGACAGGCCTAGCCTTCATGAACTCCCTCGGCGAACGTTCCGTCGCCTAGCAACCGTGGAACCGCTGGGCAGAAGGCAGAAGGAACCTTAAACGATGGAGCTCGACGTTTTATTTAGCTTTTTAACCCCCAGAAACCCAAATTTAGAAAACAACTGCAAAATATTTTTTAACCTTTCACATGTTGTTCTAGGAGGCCAGATAAACGGGCCTATTTACACATTTTAACAGCCAATAGTGTTGCAGAACTGAATAGGACCTATTAGCAATGTAAATGTGGTTTTAAAAAGAAAAAAAAATGGGGAAGGTTTATTTTTGTAGACTTAAATCTGATGTTGTAATACTACAACCGTGGGTCTCTGGGGGTTAATCATTTCCTTGACTGTTGGAGAGCTAATTCAGAGAAAATACTTTAGACTAGCTGAGCCTGAGCAAAGATGTGATAATAGTTTTTAATACTTTCTAAGGGTCTTACTTTGACCAAAACCGATTTATCACCTTTTAAGACTTTTCAAGACCCAGCGGATACCCTCTATTAAACAATTCTCATTTGTAAACAAAAATAAAATTCAAGAGTTTAATGCAGAACTGATTTTAGTTAGATATTTCTTTTACATGTACATGTTTAATCTTCATTAACCATTTTTTTCTAGCAAAGTAAAAAGCTGTCAAAGTTCTTCCTTCTCTCCTGTGCTCTCTGCTGCTCTGCAGCCTCATGTCCTCCCAGATCAGCTCCAGAAGCTCATCGCTGGCACCTTCCCCTGGATGCCCATTTTCTCCAGAATAGTCTTAACAAACATGTAAGAAAAGAAACAGGAAGAGAAAAGAGGACAACGGGTTATTCCTTTCATGTTTTCGCAGAAAAAAATATACTCAAACGAGTTTTTAAAATATGAGATGTTATTGTACCTCCATGCCACAGCCGCCGAATACTTTGCTCCGGTGATCATGTGGTCCATCTCCGCCCTAAGCTTAATAAATTCCCTGGTTTTCTCTTTTGGTCCTAAAATACAAACTTCTATTAAAATCAGGGGGAAACGTAGTGGGAGAAGTACGACACCAAGCGCGGCCGAACATACGAGCCGAGACCGCAATACAAGCACTTTTACTGTAACATTTCTAACTAAAATAACGTTCATGTATCACAAAAAGTCCTTAAACTGACAGTTTTCAAGTTTATACTTACATTTATAAGCGCAATCCTCTCCGACAGCTCCCGCTTCACTGTCCGCCATTGTTTTTAAGTTTTTCTGCCGGCCGGCCCGCAAGGCATCTTGGGAAATGCTACCTATTGAAGGATACACCCGACCCATCCTTCATTCAGGCGAAAAGAAGGCCGCATTCGTCGACCGCATTTGAAGGAGTCTTCGAATTGGGACAGGCCGAGTCGCGGCGCTGTGACGTAACCGGCCGACGAATCCGGCCGAGGTAGGATGCAGACCCTGAATTGAGACACAGCCTCTCACACACACACACATACATACACCGAGCTGGGGAAGGACACGCACACACACGCACACACACCGAGCTGGGGAAGGACACGCACACACACACACACCGAGCTGGGGAAGGACACACACACACACACACACACACACACACACACACACACACACACACACACACACACACACACACACACACCGAGCTGGGGAGACTAAGAGACATGAACAAAACCAGGAGGGAGCTGGGGACAAAAAGGCTGGAGCTACACGGACACAGAACGTGAAGGAACACCTGGAGGGGCTGGGGATGACTGAACACAGGACCTGGGATGAATGATCTAAAGGACTACAACAGAAGACACATGAAGAACACAAAGAGACACATAAATGAGACACAGACAAAGGACACATGAGGGCGCTATGAAACACAAAAGGAGAACCTGGAGTGGGAACTGGAGGGGCTGGGGAACAATGGGACACAGAACATGACAGGTTTTGTTGGTGCTTGGTAAATCCCCTCTTGTTGTCCTTTTTTGATTTGACCGTAAATCAAAACATCCAAATTATAAAACTATGCCCACGTCATCTTAACTTCAGTTCAAAGCGTTCTAGAGAAGTTATCGGAGTGGCCAATCTGTAACTTTCCTCTTCAGCCGAAAGAACCTAACGACAAGCTGGATAAATCTGTTGCATGTTCTACCTGCAGCAACGGTTCCTTTCAGAATAAAAGCTGAACCATCACGACCCCTTTTTGGGTCCTGCTAGATGCAATAAAACTGTCGTGACCTGGGAGTATCTCAAGACAGGTCTGGTCGGCAGCCGCGGCTGTGCTACAGGCTTCGGCTCCAGAAAGGTCAAGGTCCAAGCTGGACCTCTACACCCCCTGATCTAGACGGGGACTTCCGCTGGGTATGTAGACCGGCAGAATGGCGTTTCAATGTGTGTTATAATCTCCAACCTAAAGCTTAGAGCGAAAACACCATTTCTCTCCCATCAGAACTAGTTGTTTCTCTGGATTTGCTGGTTCTGAACAACATTCCACACACCATCCATCTTGCCTCATTCACACCTAGATCCATTCATCACACAGAGTGTTTAGTGTTTAAAGTTAGTCTAGTTTTTAATTGTTTAGTAATAAATCTTCTTAGCTTTAAAACTTGACTCTCTTTCTTTTGCCTCTGAGTTAATACGAAGTGGTTACATAATCCCTGGTTCCAATCTTCTGGTTTAAATTATCCAGAGATCCATAAGATTGATTTCATATTTCCTATGGAATCTCACATTTTATGGTTCATTAAATTTACACAACCATGTGAATGGATTATTTTGTGACTAAATTACATTTAGGATGTAACTCGCTACATTTGAGAAACACAAAAATGTCACAATTGTGACTGAAACAAAAAATTTGAACTTTTTAGGGACAGTTTTGCATCTCCAGCCAGTCAACAACTGCTGCTGAGATCCAAACTTTGAATGAAAATGAAGTAGGTTAGAATATAAAACTACATTTCATTTGCCTATTATAGTTAATTTTCTAGTGATGAATGCTCTTCTATTGCCAGCCTGTGAGTAAATCTGCGGCACACTCGTCACTGCGCAGAGGAAAAGTTAAACTATTCTGACCTGAATTTCCTGCGGAGTCACTCAATTTACAGTTTGGATTAAAAAGAATCGATAAAGAGTGCGAGTGGCACAAAGTAGTGGATCAGGTTGTATCCTCGGCTGCCGGTTTCTAATGGCCAGTGACAGCTTTATGAGAGAATGACTTGTGTAACAACTGCATTGGGAGAATGAGCACAGACAGAAGAGAAACAGCCATTACAGCAGCCAGTTCGTCCAGGCTAGGAGAGCGATGTGGCGGTCTGCCAGAAGACTGTAATACACAACCCAATCTCTGCTTCTCCTCTGTGTCACACTGTGGTGTGCACCAGTGTTAACAAATAAATTCAATTTCACCCTCTCTGCAGCACCTGTTGCAGCTCCATCTCCACATAGCCAATGAGGTTAATTCCGGGCAATCAAAACCCTCCCTTCTTCCTATCTCTAGTTTTGTTTTGTTCTTTTGCAACACTAAATTATCACTTCAGAATCTTGGTGAAAAACAACACCCCCGTGTCTCGTGGTAGAGAGAAAACGGTCCCTTAACAGCCTCACTAAATCACAAAATCCCGTGTGTCGCTTGAATTATCCCCCCGCTCTGTTGTGTTTCTGCGACTCGCACATTGTTGTGCACAGGGGAAAGATGCAGAGGATAAAAGTTGGGATTTTCAGCATGTTTTAGATAGCTGTGTTTGATTCGGGGATAGACAAAGTTCAGGTGGAACTACAGGAGAAGATGAGTTCATCAAAGCTGCAATGCCTCAAGACCGTGTTTGTCACCCCCTCCGTCGGCCTTGCAGTAATCATTCGCCCCAGAGCCGGCGAAAAGACGCCCGGATACAAGATATTCATGAAGCAAAGGAGGAATTGGAAACCACAACAGAGATACTAGACAGGAAGACATGATGTTATTCACAGAACAGAAAAGAAAAGGAGCCATTAAATCCAAACCGAGGCGCCGGAGATGCAACGGAGCAGTCTGAGGTTCAGGCTGTGATTAGACGCCGCTGCAGTGGAAGAGATTTTTGGGGGGTTGGGGTTGGGGGACTGGGGGGGTGGGGGATGGGGGGTGGGGGGTGGACAGACTTTTTTATTGCATCTAAACAGAGAAAAGGGGGTGTGTGATATTTTTTGTCTTACTTGCAGTAGGTGTCATTTATCATGCCGTAGATATGAATCTCTTTGCACATGTCCATGGCGAGGATGAGTGTGAACCAGCCGGTGCTCAGGTAGGAGCCAGACTGGATCCTGAACAAACACATAAAAAAACAACACATTACGTATTCATTAGCATTCTGTTCATTTGCATTGATTCGTTAGGAGTAATTTGCATTTACAGAGTTTTACTGAAGATGTTTCTGTGACCTTTGTGCTCTTTGCTCCAGTGCGACTGTATTACAGCTGATCTGAGAGCTAAATTTAATCTAACAGATGTTCTCATTGTGTTCTGCTCCAGATCTCATCTTCATCCTTGAATATAAAACGTGAATGCACCAACAGGGCAGCGAGGAGCCCATCAGGATATTAAATACACGTCTAGCCCAACTGGATTCATGCTTCTGCTTTTACGAACTGATTCAACATGCAGGACGCTGGAACATTTTCACTTGTGTGGAGAAACATAAAAGGCTCAAAGGCTGAAAAGCAACAGGCAGCTCTTGAATTATGCAAACACCTGGTGGGCAAATCAATAACAACAAGCATAATCTTTTCATGAGCATTGGACTATTAGTGTTTGAGTTATGGACATTCAAAGTTAGGACGTGTCAGCTTTGATCATTTCTCAGGCCAGAACACGAAGTTAAAGCACTTCTTGTCTCCAGATTTAGCAGAAATCTGACGTGTAGCATCTGACGTTTTTAACAGAATCGGTACCTGCAGGGTGAAAAACTCCCCAAGGGTGCTCAACAAAAAATACGGGTCGTTTATGATGAAGCAGCTTCACCGCAATATTATTCAGTCTTGGTACAAAAGGATATTTTTATGATAATAAAATGATCGTCCAAAAAAGGAGTCCGATCAGCTACTTTGAGGATCATTACGTTTAGTCTCTGCTTTAATGTCTGCTGTATAGTTCTGTCAGACGTTATTCACTTTTTGTAAATTAAACTGTGAAACTTTTTCTAAGCAATCCCCCGAGGTGCTGTAAACATCTAGTTTGACATTAAAGCAGCCTGAACATAATTTTTAGCTGAACAAGTTCCACAGAAATCTCGAAAAATAAAATAAAACCACATTTCTTTGTAAGGACAGAGAAGGACTTTAGTTTGTGTTTATTTCATATTTAGCCTGTAGGAGACGAACAATACAAAAACAAATGAATGAAATGAAGTGCATGTCCAGACTATTTTAGATACATCTTTTTCTTAAAGACCAAGTTCACTTGTTTTTAAGCAGACTTGCTGTGGACTATAAATGAATGCCTTGCGAGTCTAGCTCTGTGGGAAAAGAACTCTGACGCTCATGATCAGGAAGCAGAAGTTCCCCGGAGGAGCAGAAAGCAGAAAATAGAAGGTTTTAGAGTCTTATTTCCTGATATTCAGACATCTTTCCTCTGATTGGCTAACAGCAAAGCGACTCTTCCACTGACTCGGTTTGCTCTGGTACATTGATGTTTTATCCCCACAAATAACACAAGCCTGAAGGCTTGCTGTGTGTTGGTGTTGCTAATGCTAACGGTTGGCGTTCAGTAGCAGAAACTTGCTCTGCTGTTTCCTGGATACCCCAGAGCCTTTCCCGTCACGAGCCAAGATGGGTGAGTCCATCAATGTTAACAGTGTGACATAGATCTGGCCTTTTTAATCCGAGCGTTTTCCCATCAGCAACTAATGCAGGAAATAGGGGTAGTAGACAATTTTCACCTTTAGCCTGCATGTTAAACTCAGAGCGATAACATTTTAAAAATAACAGGTAAAAAACGATGTCTCAGTGAACTTCCTCTTTAATGGTCTCATTCACTCGTTTTAGTCTCTTACTTCATGTTCTATGGTCTCTAGCTTGAATTAATGCCTTTTATGTAGCTTTCTGTGGAAAAAATCTCTTGCATTCCTGTTAGTCGGCAAGGTGAGTGTTACAAGATTAGTATCGAAAGAAAAAAATACAAAAATATTACACAGTTCCTTTTATGAACAAGAACTTTAAAATGACAAACTGATAAACATGCAATGAAGCAGTTGTAACTCTGGTTTTATCAGTTCAGATGTCTTGATCTGATCGATATGACCAAACTCAGTTACAGATGACTGGTGAACTTCACACCTGTTAGCAGGATTAATGAGAAAAACTAAGCAATCTGTACTTTGAACCGGTAGAAACTCATAAGCATTAATTTTAGTCACTTTAGTGCAAATTTTTTTATTGCAAAAAATAACGCGA